TCTCTCTACGGTCTCACTCTAGTCTCTCTCTAGTCTCTCTCTGGTCTCTCTCCGGTCTCTTTCCCTGGTCTCTCTCCGGTCTCTCTCCGGTCTCTCTCTCTGGTCTCTCTCTGGTCTCCCTCCGGTCTCCCTCCGGTCTCTCTCCGGTCTCTCTCTAGTCTCTCTCTAGTCTCTCTCTGGTCTCTCTCTGGTCTCTCACTGGTCTCTCTCCGGTCTCTCTCCGGTCTCTCTCTAGTCTCTCTCTAGTCTCTCTCTGGTCTCTCTCCGGTCTCTCCCTGGTCTCTCTCCGGTCTCTCTCCGGTCTCTCTTCGTTCTCTCTCCGGTCTCTCTCCGGTCTCTCTCCGGTCTCTCTCCGGTCTCTCTTCGTTCTCTCTCCGGTCTCTCTTCGGTCTCTCTCCGGTCTCTCCCCGGTCTCTCTCTGGTCTCCCTCCGATCTCTTTCCGGTCTCTCTCTGATCTCTCTCTGGTCTCCCTCCGGTCTCTCTCTGGTCTCTCTCTCTGGTCTCTCTCTCTGGTGTCTCTCTCTGGTGTCTCTCTCTGGTCTCTCTCTCTGGTCTCTCTCTCTGGTCTCTCTCTCTGGTCTCTCTCTCTGGTCTCTCTCTCTGGTCTCTCTCTCTGGTCTCTTTCTCTGGTGTCTCTCTCTGGTCTCTCTCTGGTCTCTCTCTGGTCTCTCTCCGGTCTCTCTACGGTCTCACTCTAGTCTCTCTCTAGTCTCTCTCTGGTCTCTCTCCGGTCTCTTTCCCTGGTCTCTCTCCGGTCTCTCTCCGGTCTCTCTCTCTGGTCTCTCTCTGGTCTCCCTCCGGTCTCCCTCCGGTCTCTCTCCGGTCTCTCTCTAGTCTCTCTCTAGTCTCTCTCTGGTCTCTCACTGGTCTCTCTCCGGTCTCTCTCCGGTCTCTCTCTAGTCTCTCTCTAGTCTCTCTCTGGTCTCTCTCCGGTCTCTCCCTGGTCTTTCTCCGGTCTCTCTCCGGTCTCTCTTCGTTCTCTCTCCGGTCTCTCTTCGTTCTCTCTCCGGTCTCTCTCCGGTCTCTCTTCGTTCTCTCTCCGGTCTCTCTCCGGTCTCTCTTCGTTCTCTCTCCGGTCTCTCTTCGGTCTCTCTCCGGTCTCTCCCCGGTCTCTCTCTGGTCTCTCTCTCTGGTGTCTCTCCCTGGTCTCTCTCCGGTCTCTCTCTGGTCTCTCTTCGTTCTCTCTCCGGTCTCTCTCGTTCCTCTCTCGTCTCTCTCCGGTCTCTCTCCGTCTCTCTCCGTCTCTCTCCGGTCTCTCTCGGTCTCTCCGGTCTCTCGGTCTCTCTCGGTCTCCCTCCGATCTCCCTCCGGTCTCTCTCTGGTCTCTCTCGGTCTCTCTCCGGTCTCTCTCGTCTCTCTTCGTCTCTCTCCGTCTCTCTCCCGGTCTCTCCCCGGTCTCTCTCTGGTCTCCCTCCGATCTCCCTCCGGTCTCTCTCTGGTCTCTCTCTGGTCTCTCTCTCTGGTCTCTCTCTCTGGTGTCTCTCTCTGGTCTCTCTCTGGTCTCTCTCTGGTCTCTCTCCGGTCTCTCTACGGTCTCACTCTAGTCTCTCTCTAGTCTCTCTCTGGTCTCTCTCCGGTCTCTTTCCCTGGTCTCTCTCTCGGTCTCTCTCCGGTCTCTCTTCGGTCTCTCTCCGGTCTCTCTTCGGTCTCTCTCCGGTCTCTCTTCGGTCTCCCTCCGGTCTCCCTCCGGTCTCCCTCCGGTCTCCCTCCGTTCTCCCTCCGGTCTCTCTCTGGTCTCTCCCCAGTCTCTCTCTGGTCTCTCTCTCTGGTCTCTCTCTCTGGCTCTCTCTGGTCTCTCTCTGGTCTCTCCGGTCTCTCTCTGGTCTCTCTCTCTGGTCTCTCTCTGGTCTCTCTCTGGTCTCTCTCTGGTCTCTCTCTCGGTCTCTCTCTGGTCTCTCTCTGGTCTCTCTCTGGTCTCTCTCTGGTCTCTCTCTGGTCTCTCTCTGGTCTCTCTCTGGTCTCTCTCTGGTCTCTCTCTGGTCTCTCTCTCTGGTCTCTCTCTGGTCTCTCTCTGGTCTCTCTCTGGTCTCTCTCTGGTCTCTCTCTGGTCTCTCTCTGGTCTCTCTCGGTCTCTCTCTGGTCTCTCTCTGGTCTCTCTCTCTGGTCTCTCTCTGGTCTCTCTCTGGTCTCTCTCTGGTCTCTCTCTGGTCTCTCTCTCTGGTCTCTCTCTGGTCTCTCTCTGGTCTCTCTCTGGTCTCTCTCTCTGGTCTCTCTCTGGTCTCTCTCTGGTCTCTCTCTGGTCTCTCTCTGGTCTCTCTCTGGTCTCTCTCTGGTCTCTCTCTGGTCTCTCTCTGGTCTCTCTCTGGTCTCTCTCTGGTCTCTCTCTGGTCTCTCTCTGGTCTCTCTCTGGTCTCTCTCTGGTCTCTCTCTGGTCTCTCTCTGGTCTCTCTCTGGTCTCTCTCTGGTCTCTCTCTGGTCTCTCTCTGGTCTCTCTCTGGTCTCTCTCTGGTCTCTCTCTGGTCTCTCTCTCTGGTCTCTCTCTGGTCTCTCTCTGGTCTC